ATATATATATATATATATATATATATCAAGTTTATAACTAGTTTTCGTTAAACAAAATATCTTTTAACTAGTAATATTTGTAACCAAGAGATGACTTTCATGAGAGTTTTTCATAAACGAAATAAGTGATCGCATGTATTCCCCCCGGAAATATATAAAAGTTTTAAAAGAGGGGCCGTAAACACTCACTCTCGAAGCGTGATTTGGTATTCGGTTCATTTTGGGTAGCTTGTCGTGAGGAACGTACAACTTATTGAATTTGGAATAAACAAATGGGACTAATTTTGTAACGATTTAAATCAAAAGGATTAATTTTAAATCTTTTAAAATAGGAGTAAGGCTAATTTGTTTAAAATATGCATATGGAGGGATGTTTTAGTCAAATTAATACAACTATGGGGCTCATTTGGTAATTCTTAAACCAATGGGGGTTATTTTTGACCATTTGAATAAAATGAGGGACTGATTTTGTTTATTGGTTCAAACCAAAGAAAATTGGGGCTTTATGCCCTTCATTTGTTGTCGTGAGGAACCGTATTTTACACATTCTTGAATTTGGAAAAAACAAATCGGACTAATTTTGTAACGATTTAAATCAAAAGGATTGATTTTAAATCTTTTAAAATAGGTGTAATGTTGATTTTCTTAAAATATACATATGGAGGAGGGTTGTTTTGGTCGAATTGTTACATTCTCCCCCGTTAAAAGAATTTTGTCTTGAAATTCAGCTTGTAGGTGGGGTATCTTTAAACAATTGGGGATATTTTCATTTTGCTTGATCTTGTACATGATCCTTCTATTGTTTTCTTGTGTATGCGAGTCGTATATATGTTTCAAATTCGAATTGTCGATCAAACAAATAATTCTAAGGTAATTCAATTCTAAAAATACATATATTGTATTTACCTAACAAGCATGTGATACTAGTACGTTTCTTAGCTCACTCCATTGGAAGAGATAACATTACTGTCATCGGGCAGACACTTCTCGTGTTTTGACACCCGACAAGTGTTATACATATCGTTCAAATTTTGGGAATCAGGACCAATTCCTACCACAATTTTCAAAGGTCCATTGTGTCGTAGGTTTAACTTACCTTGATCTCTTAATCTTATTATTCGTCTAAAAGGAAAGGTTTCTTGTCGATGTTCATGTTTAACCTTAAATCATTCTCTGGTTTAAGCAATCTTAATCTCAAGACTAACTTTTGGATCAATAGGCAGTGTGCTACTTACGTGTTCTTTGGTCAGTTACGTATCTCTAACCATTATTCAGTACATTGGGGATCGACACTTTTGTCCGTACAAATCCTTAGACTGTGCGGCTTTTATTCTAGTATGATAACTGTTGTAGAAAGAATCAATCAATAGTAATTGGGTATTCTACGCACTTTTGTTGGTTGTTGGAGTCTAGACAGTTGATGACATCGCTCAGCCACCCATGACAGTAGTCGAAATTGATGTGTACTGCTCAACTGTTGGCAGCTCCTCCTAGGGCCACCATATCGTCTCCGACTAACCACCCAAATATGTGATACAAAATCGACAAACCGCCCACCTCTATGAATGAAACGAAGACCACCCAGGCACCCAATCAAGTGGGTTTATACCCCTAATGTGTGAAATCTATAGCAATCATCGGCTTCTCTAATTGGGTTTGATTCGTGTGAAGATATGCTTCGATTTATGTTGTTCTTGACTCAATGATTTCATAACAATAATCTCTGAATTTGGAAACTCTGTCAAGATACGAGCCTTGTTCTCCTCGGCGGCCTTTAAATTTCGAGCAGGCATCACGAGACGAGCACCGCGCTTAGCCAGGACTCGAGCCGTGTCAGCTCCGATCCAGGACGTCGCACCTAAATAGATGAAATTGACAAATTGAAATAAACAAAAGTAAAAACTAGATCAGATTAAAAAACGAAAAGGATTTTGCATCTTTTCACTGATAATACGAGAGAGAGAGAGAGAGAGAGAGATGGGTGAGCCCATACATATTAAATTTCATTTGTTTTAAATAAGAAAAAAAGCCTCATAAATGATTCCTGGGATAGTGAAATGACGAAAATGCCCTTCACTTAACGGTAGATAGTTGGCGGAGTGATACATAAGGACCAAACATCAAAAGTTTTGAAACCACGGAGACCATCTGTGAGGTTTTTTAAACTTAGTGACTAAACTTCATATTTCGGGATACCACACGGACCATTTATGAAGTTTTGTCTTATTATAATCACTTTTGTATTTATAAAGAATTTAAAAATACAGTACATGTTCCAATTATATATATTATCTGCAAGCTTATCTACTAATGAGAGAATGCAAGTTTTATTGTCCCGTCCGTGGAGACCTTTCAACACAAAAAAAAAAGTTGGATAAGCATTACCGCATCTTCATCCTTAAGTGTCAGATATTTTGAAGACATAATGTATTCTTCTATATTTCTGAGACGCAAAGTTGCATTTGTAATGTCTGGGAACAACCGGACCCGAAGATTTGAATTTGACTGGCCTTTTTTTTCGTTGAGTAAATTGACATAAGGACCAACTCGTAACTCGCTTATCAAAATATACTGCGTTTCACCAAAATCCACCTGGACCCCATCTATCTCAAACTGAAACCTCTCAACTTTAAACATAATTTGAGATCGTCCTTCATGCAACATCATCAAATGCACGAGTAAGGGATCACGATTGGGGACAGACATTCATAAGAATTACCCAAACGGTGAAGCTTAAAATAATTGTCGTTGCGGTTTAGTTAGCCGCAAAAACTAATCTTTAAAGATGGTACCGACGACGCCTTTTAAAGTTAATTTTGTTTTTTGTCCAAGATTATCGTGCTACAAAACATATATATATATATATATATATATATATATATATATATATATATATATATATATATATATAT